TTGAGCAGAGAGCCCTTTGTCAAGTCTTGTGTCAGCCATCGTCTGTTGAAAGAACCATACGTTTCTCTCTTGGATGAGGTGAATGGTGTTGTTACTGGAACCGTGCAGGATGCCTTTCGTGTCACTAACAACTGTCAGAATGTGCAGTCTAGCAGTGATGACGAAACTGAGAACGAGATGCAGGATGACGTGAATGACTCATGTCCAGGATCTATTAATGCTGCTGAAGTTTCTGCTTTTCTGGGTGCTCACTGCGATGGTGGAGTTAGTCCGTTGCCCATGTCAAGTCCAAAGTCACTCCAGCTCCCTGATGAAGATCCATCTGTTGCAATCCCGTTTTCCAGACTTGCAAATCTCCAAGAGCAGGACAACATAGTCAGTAGAGTCATCAACTATGTTCTGAGACATAAACGTCCTTCAAAGAGTGAGAAAGCAAAGGAGCCTATCCCTGTGAAAAATCTTTTGAAGCACTGGAAGAAGCTAAAGATCCGTAATCATGTGCTGTACAGAGTAAAGAAAGATCGACTGATAAATAAGAAACTCTTCCAATATGTTGTACCAGATTCTCTAAAGCGTGACGTTCTCTGTGGTGTTCATGACTCAGCTGGACATCAGGGTGGTGCAAGAACTCTCTCTCTAGCAGCTGAAAGGTTCTTTTGGCCAGGAATGAGTAAAGACATCAAGCTCTATGTGGAGAACTGCCAGAGGTGTGTTGTTGGAAAAACTCCTGAGCCAAATGCTCGTGCGCCCCTTGAACATATTCGCACCTTTGAGCCTATGGAGCTGGTATGTATAGACTTTTGGAGTGCTGAACAGACTTCAGGGAAGGTCGTTGATGTCCTAGTAGTGACGGATCATTTTTCTAAGATGGCACACGCCTTCCCCTGTCACAACCAGTCAGCTAAACAAGTTGCCCATCGCCTTTGGAATGATCTCTTCTGCATTTATGGATTTCCAAAGAGAATACATTCGGACCAGGGTGCAAATTTTGAAAGTAAAATCATTAAGAATTTGCTTGAGATGGCTGGTGTTAAAAAATCGCACACCACACCGTACCACCCTATGGGTAACGGTCAGGCAGAACGTTTCAATAGGACTTTGGGTAACATGATAAGAGCTCTCCCAGTGAAATCCAAGGCGAGGTGGCCACAGCTTCTGAGAACATTAACCTTCAGTTACAATTGTACTGTGCATGAGACAACCGGGTTCGCCCCTTTTTATCTTATGTTTGGGCGTATCCCGAGGCTGCCTATCGACATCATGTTTCAGCATGTCCTTTGCGATGAGAAGGTGGTCAGCCACCATGAGTTTGTCACTGCACTGAGAAGAGATCTGAGCGCAGCTGGAGAAATTGCCCGGAAACACAGTCTCAAAGAGCAGAACCGTCATGCCATTCTTTACAATCGGAAAGTCAGAGGTTTACCCTTAGCAGTGGGAGATAGAGTTTTGCTGGCTAACCGTGGAGAGAAAGGCAAAAGGAAAGTCGCGGACAAGTGGGACTCTGTTTTGTATGAGGTTCAATCAGTGAGACCAGAGATTAATGTGTACGGGATTAAGGATGTTCAGACTGGCAAAGAAAAAGTAGTGCACAGAAATCTGTTGCTGCCAGTTAATTTCTTATCCTTGGATGATGGTGAAGAAGAATCAGTTCGATCAGATTCCACTGGTGCTACCCGTGGCAGTTCTCTTGACTCTGCTCTGATGAATGATCCTGATCCTGTTTCAAAGACATCAGAATGGTTATTGCAGATGGATGGAACACGTGCTAGTGACGACATGCAGGATGCCAGTTGTGGTGAAGTTTCAGACATTCCTGATGAGATGACTCCTGAGTGCCCTGGCACTGATCAGTACAGTCCAGAACCTGAGCATGTTCCTCAACCTGCTGAGAGCACAGAGAGTTTACATGCAACCAAGCCAAATGAGTACCCCAGTTGTTTGCCAGAACCTGATAACAGACTTGCCCCTGTCATTTGCAAACAACCCACAAGCACACAAGGCCACATCACTACTCGATTAGGGAGATCAGTTAAGCCCCCTAACAGACTTATTTGTGAAATTGATGGTCAGAAAATTGTGGAAAGGGATTCACGTAGTGATGCACAAGTTATTTTTCAAGGAACTAACTTTGTTGTTGGGTTGATAAGGAACATTTTTGTTTAAAGTGATGATTGAATGATGATTCTAATCTAAGAGTGAACTGTTTAGAGAATGACTTTGAAGTGAGTTTTTCTTGACTTTGAGAAGTTTGTTGTTTCCATCAAAAGATATTTGAAGAGCAGAGATACATTTGTAATCACTAGGAGCGTGTAGGCTGCACCTCCTATAGTCTGTGTTAAGTGTGGAACCTGGTACCATTCCATTCTTACACACTTCCTGGGGAAGAGATAAATTCTGACATACTGTATTGTAAAGCTCTTTTACTCACACCTGTTTTTTGTGCAATCTCTACTGTATGTTTAGTTTGTTACATATGCTGGTTCTAGCCCAATTTAGCAGAATTTAGGGGGGTGTATGTAACGGAGTTTAAATTAATGTTTATAAATTCATGCTTTAAATGGGCAAACTCGACATTGGCTGTTGCGTCACTTGCATTTGTGTGCGTGACATTGTGGGCGGAGTTACGTCACCAGCAGAGTTTCACATCTCTCCTGCTGGTAAGTCGCATCAAAAAGTGCTGCGTCATTAAAAACAGAGTTTATGTTTTATATTGCAAGTATGGACTTTAATACTGCACACAAGTTTACTTCATGTATCTGTCAGTCCCTAGCTCTGTCAGTTGAGTCAAATGTGTTATTTGCGATGGTGAAATGTGATGACTGTGTATGTTAGTCTGCTTGTGAACTCCCGATTCTCTGTTGATTCCATTTAAGATCTGAGCAACATTGATGCGTGAATGCACTGCCCACTAACCAGTTTTTGGTTGTTTGTCTCAGGTATGTTTTTATATTCGAATTTGTCATGTTCTGTGTATAAATGTATTAGCTGAATTGTTAGCATTAACACACGTGCTGTGTGCTCACACGTGCTGTGTGCTCACACGTGCTGTGTGCTCGCACGTGCTGAACTGAGTAACGACGCCATTTTAGGTGGCTGTTCTTTTCTTTCTGTATTCCATTTTATACCAAAAATATGAAAATGATGGTTGCTCAAAGTTATTATCTTTCTGCAATTGTAAATTGATGAGAAATGAGAACAGAGACAGTGAGTTGTACTTTATTTCTTTAATGTATGTCTTATTTTTAGTTTAATTCCACTATACGATCACTATGTAAAATGTTAAGAGCAGAGTTTCACATCTCTCCTGCTGATCTGAGCAACATTGATGCGTGAATGCACTGCCCACTAACCAGTTTTTGGTTGTTTGTCTCAGTTCTGTCTGTCTCAGGCCAGTAAAGTGAATTCATGAGTGACCATCCACCTGCTTCCAGTGTGATTCCATCCGCACAAACACACACAGTCACATATGCATATTCAGATGCTTCATTTACAAATAGTCTGTGTGCTATAGGTTGTAGAACAAGCTGTGAACTTTTTCTCTATCTTTCGTCTTTTTATCACCTTTTTTGCTAAATATTGCAATAATTATTGTTAAATAATTATTTAAAGTAATAACTTCAAAGTAGTTACACATGTAATATGTAGGCTAATTTAATTAATAACAATTTCAGTAATGTCACTATTGTCAGTCACTTTATACAGCCGAGTGAATGTTTTTCTACACTTTCCTAACAAATCACCATATAACTGTTGAAAGAGCCTCTAGAAACTTAGTCTATGAAGCCATTATTTGTTTTGAGATCACTTTAAATGTGAGTGAAACCACAGGAAATTATGACCATGTCAAAGTTGAATCTGTACCAACAAATAGCATGTCAAGTCATAAGTCTGTTCTCTCTGCAGCAAACTAAATGATGCTGTAACAGGTTTGCTTCTTTAAAAGATTATACTTTATGGGAGCAACAGGCAGTAGAACCAAAAACAGGGTTCAGAATTCGAAAAATAATTATGATGATGCGCTTACGTTTGAAGGGCATGAGGCCGATAAAAAAAAAGCAGAAATGTGCAGCTAAACATTTCATGAGAGAACTTACACCATTTTTCTGCTAAAGCTGTAAAGTTTTTCTTTATACACAGTCTGCTTTACCGCCCATGAGTTTTTGTAATCATTTGCCTTTGTGTATTAGCTAACTATCTGGTTCTAAGTTTAGATTTTACATTTCCTGAATATTAAAGTATGTTTTTTTTAACTTTTGAATGATTCAGATACACATATAATAGGAAAATGAAAAAAAAAACGTATTACACAACACAAAACATATCTGATAAAAAAAGAAACCCATCTCGTATAAATCTTTTTAAACTGTGAGGAAAAGAAAAAATCCATTCTCAGATATAACTGTATCATACTACATTTTCAGTTAGTCTAAATTAATTTCTCTATATTTGTCTACCTAATAATGCATCTATTCATACCTTAAGATTTAAAGTTCAACAAACATCAACAAAACTACGCCTGAAGCTCCATCGTTCTTCCCTCTCTCTGTTTCTTTGCTGTCACTTTGTGTCTGGCCTATTGTGTGAGAAAACAATGGTCATACCAGGGGAAAGTCAGACCGAGTCTATGATTGGCTGGCTTAGCAGGCCACTTCCTGAGTTCTGGGAAGTGATTGGGGGGAGAGGGGAGTGTTGGGGGGGTCTTTCTCACATAGCCAGGCATACTGGGGGGACGGCAGGGGTCAACTTCCTGTCCATAGAATGGGGCAAAGGAAACACAGACAGGAAACAGGAAGCAGAAAGAGGAAACTGCACCCATTGTCCCAGCACAACACTGTCACCGTGGAAACCACCAACGAGGGGAGAGAGAGAGGGAGCTATGATTTTTCATACTCTTAAAATCCCTGAAAATCTGCTTATTACACTGACAAAACATTTAAGATGAGTAAATGATTAAAAGAAGGAGAAATAAAGGAGAGAAGAGGTAAATAAATGAGTGATACCTGTAATAATGAGCTGGGCATCATAAGGTTCCATGTAGCCATCATTCTCTCCTTCTCTTTCAGCCTCTCTCTGTTCCCTTGTTTTCTCAGCATCAAATGGGACAGCATAATCCTCCAGGATGATCTATTAAGAGTGAGAAGAAAAGAAGAATAGAAAGCGATATCAGTGATTTGTGTTAAGGACTATAATAGAACCCAGTTAACAGGGAACAGCCTCAAAACTTTTTTCATAACATAATGGGAATGTTAGCAAAACATTCCTAGAATATAATTTTGTTAGCTAGGAAGAAACACCTTCATTAGGTAAGGAATGAAAAATATTCTGTTCAATAAAAGTTTGCAATTTGTGGCGTTAGATATCACAAGAAAACGGACTCTCCCTTCTTTATCTTTAAAAAACAGGAATCAAAGGTGACAAATAAAGTAAATGGGGTACATTTTTTGCAGGATTTAAAAGCAGAAATGTGAAGCTTAAAATACATAGAAGTAGCCTACTTTAATTTATTATGTTAAAACAACTACAAAGTTGTTTTCTTAATTTTTTATCATCATTTTAGTGTTTAGGCGTTCCATTGACATGGTAATGAACTTGTAAAATTGGAAACAACTCAACAGAACAGGTTAGTAAGAGTTTTTTTCACACTAAAATTATGTTTGTTTGTTTTTTTGTTACCATTTAAGGACTTGCCCCATTCCCTTTCATTGTATATATATATTTTTTTAAGAAAAGGCGGAGGTTGAAGTAATTTTTTTCTGGTAATCAACATTATGCCACAAGGGCTATCGATTGGGCTTAACTTGTACTGAACCTGGAATAGTCCTTTAATAATATGATGCCAACATATTCTGCAATGATCTACTTCAGAAATAGTGCAAACCCAGCTAAAAAGGGCATTTAGTCAAAACCTGGAGTTAAATTACATCTTATTGGGTGGAATTCTTTGTTCCATCTTGTTAAAAAAATTCAGTATTAAAGGGTTAGTTCACCTAAAATTAAAATGCTGTCATTAACTACTTACACTCACATTGTTCCAAACCCATAAGTCTTTTGTTCATCTTCGAAACACAAATGAAGATCTTTTTGTTGAAATCTGAGAGCTTTTTGTTCCTTCATTGACAGCTACACATCCTCCACTTTGACGTTTCAAAAAGTTAAAACTATTTTTTATTTATACGTTTATTTGTATAGGGACAGTACAAAAAAACATGATCCCAGTCAAAACTGGAAAATATGTATTGCACATATAAAGAGATAATTATAATCATAAAGCGATCAAGTCTCTTCAGAAAATTTGGACTAAACTGCTCAATTCATGGATTAGTTTTACAATCTTTTTATGAACTTTTTGAAGCGTCAATGTGGTAGTTGTAGCTGTCAATGGAGGGACAGAAATCTCTCGGATTTCATTAAAAATATTTTCATTTGTGTTCCGAAGATGAACGAAAGTCTTACGGGTTTGGAACAACATGAGGGTGAGTTAATGACAGAGTTTTCATTTTAGGGTGAATTAACCCTTTAATCTTATTCTCCGGCTCATCTTTTCCCATTCTTTCTCTGATTCTCCCTCTGGACGTCGTTGTGTGTGTGTGTGTGTGTGTGTGTGTGTGTGTGTGTGTGTGTGTGTGTGTGTGTGTGTGTGTGTGTGTGTGTGTGTGTGTGTGTGTGTGTGTGTGTGTGTGATCTCATGAGATTCTGATTTCTGTGCTATTATGTTCAAAGTGTAGCTGGAGGGGATGTCCGTAAATGGGATAGGATACAGCCTATGTATCAGGTGACATAATTCTTCAAACACTGCCTTCACCAGGGACTGGAAGAATGGGATAGAGCCATTGTGTTATGTATGCATTGTATTCTTTGAGTATTTGTGAGCAAGGGTGTGTGTGTATGTGAGCACAAAAGTGTGTTTCCCACAATGACAGAGTGCATAGGAAAAGAGACAGAAAAAGAGGCAAGGAAATGTCTCTCATTGTGTTTGTTGCTTTTCAGCTCCACTGTGTCTGCTTATAATAAAGCAGTTCAATGAAAAGAGAATATAGGAAGAAAAAGAAAGATGTGAGGACGGAGGAAAGAAAGATACGAAAGAGAGAGGAGGGGGCTGAGGGAGGGAAAAATAAGATATTGCTTAAACAAAGAGCTGGAAGAGAGATACTGATCTCAATTTTCAAAACAAAGACGTGTGTTTGGTTCTCACAGTCAACAGAGGGACTGGAATTAGAGAATGCATGTATTAAAAAGAACTCATCTGTCTCTGAGGCCTGCTTTATCACTCAGATCAGGGATATTCTTTCTTTATCCCATCTGAAAAACCCACCCTAAACCAGCCTGATGCTGATCTCAGTTGGTTTGAGCAGGTCTTAAGTTAGTTCAGCTGGCCAGCAAGTAGACCAGCAGAAAAGTGCCCAAAACCCTACTAAAACCACCTAAGACCAGCAAAAAAAAACAGCTTAAGGGGTTAGGTTTTTTTTCCAAAAATGAATTTAGTACATTTTCAGAAAACAGTTGTCACCTACAAATCTGTCAAGAAAATACATGACATTATTATTAGCAAGTCTATATTATTATTATTTATTGTTAGTTTACATTGTGGTGTTGGCTCATTCTCAAACTTACTGTTTCGGTTCTGATTGGTGACTTGGCCCTCTCGCTGTCCGGGGATGATCCTCCTGGACTGGATTTTGGATCATTAACCTTGATCATTCTGCTCATGTACGCGTCAGCGAGACTGGTGGTCCGCAGGGTGCGATGGTCTTCAAACCCTTCCATTTTTGTGTTTTTCTTACTTTTCCCAGGGATCAGAATTTCCCATATCTTCCCGTCTTTCATCGAGCCGGTGCTGGAGTGGTTTCGTCCCAGCTCGATGGCCGAATTTTTACGATTTCTCCCGTGGAGCAGCGAACCCACACCACCACCACCACCACCACTACCACCGTTTTCAGCTCCAGAATTTTTACGCAGACTTCCCTTCGAACCAGTACCAACGGCCAGAACCGGTTTGGGGCGGGACTGGGTTCCCGATTCCGAAGCAGAACGGATCCGATCGGATCCAGTCTTCAAACTAGTTGGGAAATCTTTAAACCACTTCGCCATGACGAATACAGGTGTCTGAGCTACTCTCCATACACACGCGCAACTTTGGAAAACCAATCAGCTTCTAAAATATCACTCACTATGGCCCCTATAATAGATTTTTGCCTTAATCAACAACACTTTAACGTGCAGTTCAATTGACAAGGTTGTTGTTATTTTAAACAAGAGCTCTTTTTAATTTATTTAATTTTGAAAATCTGTCAAATTGATTTAGGGAAAGGTTCCGAATATTAAATCCCTTTTACTAATCTTGATCACAGAATTTATCCCATTCGTATTTCTTTTCAGGAAACTTCTTACACTCTCAATTACGATTCTTCACATTGGAAAATAATGTCTTGTTTTTTGTTTGCTCCCAATTATTCCCGCAAGATAAAGAGGAGTCTCTGAAGGGCATAAACGCGGAAAAAATTAAAGTTTTTCTTAGCTCTCGATGAAGATCCCATTCCCGGTATATCCACTCCAAGCGACAGTCTAAATGAAGTGAAGGGGATGTACATGTATACGTGCGCTTGTGCTGCAGCTGTGTGGGTGGGGGTGGTTGCAGGCAGCTACTGTTCCCCTAAATGAGAACTTTTCTTTTGCTGGGCGCTGCCCACCTGTGGACGCAAACCATACTCTGGTGCACAGCAAATAGATTATCGGTTTTATTTAACGTTTCTATTTATTTGCCCAAGGGGTCTAGTTACACTCTTTACTCCAGTGAATAGGCTAGGCCTATTTCTCAAGAGTATGTTTTGAACAAAAAAACTAAACAAACAAACAAACAACGATTTAAAATTTTTTTTAACTATTTAACTTTTGCCACTAGGTTACACATCACTGGACACGTTGAGCAAATCTATTCATATAGTCTTCGCAATGGTTTTCAAATTACCCCTACTGGTCGTGTGTCGGTTTATGAAATTATTGTATGGCTCTATTTTAATTCGATAATGTTTTTTACTCGATATATTCTTATTTTAGGTGATTTATGGAAACTAAATTTGGCTATATTTATGCAGTAGCCTAGTTATAATTCATTTATTCACTTTTTGAGCATGAACCTGAGAATATAGGCTACCTTGAACTTAATGAAGTTTAACCTTTCATAACTCGATAACTTGAATGCTTTGGAGAACAGAGTTAAGTTTGGTCTCTGCTATGACACTTGTCAATTGAGAATGTAAAAAAAAAGTGAACTTGAAAAAAGTTATAAAATGTTACATTTATTGTTATGAAAAATGCAATGAAATATATTTTCCAAAACACATTTTACTCTAAAACTGTGTGGAAATCAAAGCCATAAATCTAAACAAGTGTTCCAAATTCGAGGTTGATATCTCAAAAAATTAGCTTTCAGTTAGAATTTGTTTGTGCGCAGTATGCTACCAAACCTTTCCAGTATAAAATTCGTCACATTTATTTCCACTGCTCATTTGTGACCGTGGACAATACAAGTATGTGAATATTTTTTTTTCAGGACGTTTAACCTTTTCAGATCATGTTTTGATTTGTGTGTGTGTGTGTGTGTGTGTATGTGTGTGTATGTGTGTGTGTGTGTGTTCACATAGTAAGTGCAAAAACCTTTTCCAAGTTTCGTACCATTCCGATAAAGTAGGCTAAACAATTCTAAAAAACAAAACGTAGGCCTATAGGATACATATTTTCAGTCAAAAATGAGTCATGACCGAATGGCACCAGAGGGTTAATTTAAACAGTAAAGCAAATATGAAACAAATAAATTATGACAGCAAAAAAGGTAACTACAAATCTTATCTATTTGATGTTCTTAATTTAAAAAAGGGCTTACCAGACGGTTCCATAAAAATCTAAATGATGATTTTTTTTTTGTGCAAGACACTACCACTACCACAGTGGGGCAGCAGTTCACACCAGGTAACTGGGCCAAGTCACTTATAGGGGCAGACACTTGGGCAACTTAAAGTCATTTATACTGCCTCCATAGTGGCTAATTAATAAAACATGCTAAATTCATTGACATGTAAACATGAATTATAGTCTATTTATAGCCAATAGCCTATAGCCTACCTAATGTCGGTTTGAAAAATATTTCTGAAATTCCATAATGTTAGAATTGTTCTTAGAGTTTCATGCTTGCCTACTTATACAAACAATTTTACATGGTTCTGGAAGCAAAACTACTCGAAATTTAAATAGGCCTACTAGTGGAAGCTAAGCTGTGATCACACAATACTGTCTCTGCCCACACGTGACTATCATCATTATCAAGTGTGTTTATCACTCTATGGTTTATCAACACTGTCAGTCAACCCAGCTCATCGTGGAATGTCTTGCTGAATTTATTCAGCACCTGGACCTGTTTTTCCAGTTATTGAAAACGATAGAAAAAAAAAAAAAGACACAGCACACAAGGGACATTTACTCCCATCTGTGGACCAACTACATTTACATTTAATCATTTAACAGATGCTTTTATCCAAATAAGCGACTTAGGCTACAAATTAGGAGAGCAGGAGAGCAAATGTTGCAACAATATGCAAGTGCTTCCTGAGTGTGAGTCCCAGTTAGTCGTCAGAAACAGTAGGCTATACAGAGAAACAGACCTTTTTATAATACATACAAACTGTTCTCCACTGTTGATTATTACTTTTAAGATTTCATTTATATAGTCTACTACGAGATCACGCTGTAGCCTATGCTATAGCCTAAACAACCCTGTCAACTATGTACATGCATATGGAAACAAAACAGGCAGTTACATGAGCTATAAACTTGCCGTAAAACATTGAGCTAATTTTGTGAAAAAACTGAACTTTCATTGTGTCTCTAAAATCATAACCTGAATTAATTTTTCACGGCTCCGCAGATAAATTTACGTTCCAAATTGTATTGTGATTGACATACAACCTAACCAATAATCGAAGCAGAAATGGTTTCATGGGTTCCACCCACGACGCCACTATCAGCCAATGAGATTATTCCTCACTCGCAGAGTGGGCGAGGCAAGTGGTATCGGTCTGAAAGGTAACAGGTTGTCTTTAGCCAATGTTTTCCCTGGGGATTATTAGTTAGAGCTGTCACATTCAAAGAAACGTCTTTTACTGTTACACTATCAGTTCTCATGAAGAAGAACAGCAGGAAGTAACCGAGGAACATTAGGCAGAGTGAAATATAAACTTTGCCGTAATATCAGGTAGGATAAATGTTATTTTTGTTCGCTATCACAGCTAAACCTGTTAGCCTGTGACTAGAAATTGATGCTTGCTAAACTTGTTTGTCGCGCGCCAGATGCTCCAACGAATTCTCGAGATGAACTTTCTTCCTTTAGGAATAACACACTTGTCTCGCTCGCATACTGTTCAGCTTAGTTTTGTTTTGTCCTGTTTCGTGTTCTTCTCAAGTTTACTTCTCTGAAGATGGATTAATGTTTGTCCAAAGGATTATTGTCGAGCCCACGTAGTATTTTCCACTGGTTTACGCTGAAAATGAGCGCTTCGGCTCGAGAGACTTAATAACACATTGAGTTTCGCACGAAGCGCAGGTGCATCGCCAGGTGAACACCTGCGCTTCTCGCTTTGGGAGCAAATCATTGAGAGAGAGAAAGTATTGACGTGGCAAACAATCCTGTTTTAACAGTGTTGTGATTGTTTACCTCACCACAGCCCACGAAAGCCCGCTAAACACTCAAAGCCTTGTGTTTGAATAGGCCAATTTGTATTCAAATGAATAACGATTTACGAGTCAGTGTCAAACTTGCCGTGAGGGAGGTAACTCTGTCAAACAACGTTAGGCTGTCAGACGCGTCCTGTTCAAAAAGACTTAAAAGAACAATCAACTTTTTAGTTCGTTAAAGTATTGCTCTCGTTTAATATTTGATTCATAGTTCATAGTCTTTTGGTAGTTCCGTGATGTTATCCAGTCAGACGCTAGGTCGGACTTTTCGAGATTTGAAACCAGTGACTCAGTGCAGAAGAATTTTATAGGCCTAGATGAGCAGTGGGACACAAACTCTTTACATAGGCCTACTACTAATTTTCAGTCATTTACATTAGTGATTTACTGCGTGTTTTGTTATAAGGCTCAAATATAATAATTTTGTTACTTTTTATTTATTACAGAGCTTCATTATTATTATTAATATGATTATACTAATGATTAAACTTTGCATACAATAAGATTTCATGTGTAAATCAAATTAAAATTAATTTTCCGAATGGAGGTTATTGATCTTATTGTGAATTCATTTGTGCTTATTTTTTATTTTTTAACATTTTTTACGTCATATTTAAATTATTAAGCTCACATTCAGCCAATCTGCCTACGTCCAATCGACAACTTCCATACTTTTTTTCTTTTTCAATAATTAATTTAACACACTATGTCACAATATGGAAGAGAAGATCTGTTGCTATAATTTTTCATCATGACTTTAAACATTCAGTTCTGTGGGTGAGAAAACTCGCCTTGTTGCTTCCCCCCAATGAGACACATGAGCTTTTGATTTTCATGAGTTTGAACAATTCTGGCTGCAATTCTGTAATTACCTCAAGAAAGACCTAACAACACATTTTATTATTATGAAATCCAATTAAGTAGTAATGTTTTATAGGTTTAACAAAGATAAATCTTTCCAAGCAAGCACCCCTTTCCAACCTCCTAAAGTACACTCAGCAGTGGATGTATCCTGGTTGGGAATCTTTGGCATTACATTAAAAGCTTGCTTTTCATTTGAATCATTGTTTGCACATATTTAGACCATAAAACCAAAACGTTTTGTTCTTGCAGTGCACCCCCCATATCACACTGATAGGTTCTTGACCTATGACTTGTGCTGAGCCATGGACAAACATAACACTATTACATCTCTATCACTGACACGAGACGCTAATCTTCTAGTGTGATTCACAGCTGAGAGTCATAACTTGCTTTTATTTTTCCAAGCTGAAAAACCTGGAGTCATGAGCACATGCTGGTATTAGATAAGATTTAATTTTATATTGTGTGAGTTTCTTGTCATATGATTTGTGTTTGGCAGCACTGGAGTCAGTCATGCCTGTGAGATCCAATAGACGGACAGAAGAAGAACTTCTTGTTTGTCTGTCTTTGAAACGAGAATAGTGATTGAAGTGTAGGAAGGGAGGGGGGAAGAAAGGAAAAGAAAGATTTAGAGGGAGTTTGGCAGGAGACAAAGAATGCAAAGGGGAGTCGAGCACTTATGGAGGGATACCAGACTCTTTAAAATGAGATGAAAGCTTACGATAGGCTACACTTTCTCAGATGCATTCTCATAGCAACTCGACTCTTTAATTCAGACTTATCTAGATGAACTCTATATCTCACCTCTCTCAAGGAAAATCACCCCAATGTGAATATCAGTGACTGGTTTATCCTTTCTGTGCAAATGAATAGAAACTAGACCAGAGATCCAGCCTTTAGGTTGTGTTTCTCATTAGAATGGTTATCATACTTTTAATGCCACTTCAAAAGTGTTAAAGGGGTCATATAATGGTACATGCACTTTTACAAGT